TCCGTATTCGTTAGTTGAAATTGTGTAACTACTATTTGAAGATGTTTCTTAATTAACGTTACATCGTTGAGTTTAGTTTGTAATGAAATATAAATCTAAAAATTGAATTCAATTACTAAAATGAAAAATCTAAAACATTATTTTTACTAAATTATCGTCGCTATGACGCACAACCGGATATACATTATGTAGCGGTGTACTTTGTTGTAAAGTTGTTGTAATAATATTTAATATGGCGTCATATACTTTCTGGAAGGAATGAAAAAATTAATTAAATAATTTTGACTATTATGATATTGATAATAATTATTCGATAATTTAAAGATTAATTAAACTTATACAAAAAGTATATATGACAATATACTTAGTTACTGATGGTTAGAAAAGAAAACAAAATAATACAATATCACTAAAATTTTTCAGCAGAACTCATATTCAACCTTAATAAAAGATATTAAATTAACGTTAATAATTCCACATCAATTTATCAGCAACACGAAAGTTTTTAAATTAAAAAACGACTGACTAATTGTTAATGCATGTAAAAAACCAAGGATCAAAAATCATATCCGTGGGAAGTTCCTTACTATAGCGAAATACATTCTATAGCATTCGAAGAACTGAGTTCGATCATCAACTATAACGTGAATAAACACATTAACTACTAAAACCATGTAGCTTAAGTTTATGTATAATAACAATAACATAATGGTCAATACGATTGAGGGCTTTACACAAGTCGGTGTAAACAATATCGACTTGGGTATTACAGTTTAAATTGTCACAGAACTGGGTGAAACTCGCCAAGTAGAGTTTTACTAAAATTTTTAAAAAGCCTGTTACGCAATCTACCAGATAAACTGTAAATTTAATGCTTCCAAAAAATTTAAAAAAGATATCGACTATTATGCAAGGGAGGCCAAGAAAAAAGTTAAAATTAAACATTCACAACTGAATATTTATGTAAAACTTAGACATTATTTTTTTAACTGAAGGGTGAATGTAATAAGGTAATAATTAATGTTAAGAGTTTTAGTTATTTTTATTTACTAATAATTCAATTCTATCTACTATTCAAACTCAGCATCCATTATTTCGATTTACAGATCTGACCCGCCATTATAATCATTTTCTAATTCTAATTCTCAGTCAGATTTCCCCAATGAAATAATGAATGCAAAAATGTCCTCAAACTAATAATTTTCCATAAGTTTTTCCGGTAAGCCGAAATAAGTAATGTATAGTGTCCCTAATACTACAAGGTTATATGGCTGTTGTAAAATTAGGGTATTGTGAAGACGACAATGGAGCAGTTAATAAGGCAAACCCACAGTTGTAAATTGTATTTGTGTTGGTTTAATGTACCAAAAATGTTTAAACGGATTACCCAGCAGTATATATTGAGGTGTCAACATATTGAGACAAATCTTGATTTATGACGCTAGGATTGAGCCGATAATCAGCCGCACAAACGGAATTATAACATCCCATTATTAAATTTAGTAGGGCCATATAAACTATAGTATTTCGGCCATTATACAATGTTTACTAAAATTTTGACACATCCCTGGAGTACATTTGGAAACTATAAATTATTATGGACTTTATTTTTGGATGAAGGTCGAAAAGTTATCCGCTTGTTACAGTAGGATTTTCAAAAGCTCCACGCTATTTCAACAGCGTTGTATTGACAATCGTATGGAGGTAATTTAAGGACCTCATGACCACTTTCCCATGATGTCCCGTCTACCAAAAATCGTTTTTTTACGATCAGTAGTAAAAGGCCGAATTTAATCACAGTTGTTTTCTAGAAAAAATTTAATCAAATTCAATACTGTGATTCCAACCACTCTTGTCTTTGACTTTTTCTGCGTAAAAATGTGTCCAACTATATGGTGTATTGTGGAACTTGTTTAAAGCAGGAATAGGCTGATTAACCACCCAATTTTGAAGAAGTATCATTTGTAATTTTGTAATTTTGTTAGGATTATCTTTCAATTCTGAATTGTGTATCCAACGATCTAACGATTTTCTTAAGAAAGTAATTTTAGGTGCAAAGACATGTTTTTGTTCACATAAGATTTTGCGACCGTCTATTTCCGTGTTTGTAAATCCATAAACATAATAATTATGAAAAGTGTGGTTCTCCCTCCCTGAAATTATAATTGTTTTCGCGCATCAGCTGAAGGTTTGTCTACAGTAAAATGTTCATTTTCTCCAATATAGGTATATTATATTTTCATTTATTAAAAAAAAAACAAAACAGTTATAGATGTTATATGTTGATATTAAAAATGCACTAGATCGAGCCCTTCTTTTATAAACTTCTGCTATCGTGAATGTTTTTGACTTTTGCTTTTATATCCAGAAGATTGTCTTTATTTAGAAATTATTGAAGCTTTCAATAATCAGTTATATCTATTTATGCTATGCTGAGAATGATCTCTGAAAATAATGTAATTTTGCTTTCGACTTGCCAGTTCATGAACTTCTGATAAATTTTTTTTTTTTTTTTGGTTTTCTGAAGCAAGATATTATTGCAGGCAGCAGTTGCTTGATCTGTTATTTCAGGAGGAGTTAGTTCTAATCACTCTGAATTACTTTCTGAAAACGTTTCAACTTCCATTTTTTGTGAAAGCCAATATTTATTGTTTGTAGTGGTTGCTGTGGTTTTTTAATAACAACTTTTATTCACAGTCGGTGAGTCATATGAAACTTTCAAACTTTCTTGATAAAAACTATTATAGGTGGACTTTAGAATTTTATTCTTTCCATGTTTAGGAACTATACATATAAACTTAAGGGAAGATTGACAGCAGTTTTAAATGCGAGTTTTAATTAACTGCAAATTTTTCTCTTTATAAGTTCTATAGATAAAACAAATAACGGAATTATTCATATTCATGCACAAAACTCGTATGCATAAAAATTAATTCACCATTCATTATAAAAACCGGACTGTTTTGGCAATTTAAGTTCGTTTCGTGTTCCCTGAAGCATATATTAAACTGGGGATGATGTATGTACAAGCAAATATTGCTTAAATTAGAATTTTTGTTTGTTTACTACGTTACATATTGGAAATCATTTCGTTTTGTCTTAATTTTAACAGTAAGGTAGTTAACCATATCCATGTCAACAATGCAATTGTTATTTACTTTAAAAAAATTTAGAAACATGTTGAAGGTATGTTTTAAAATTTCACTTAGAGAACTTTCAAATCCTTTAAGTAACAGTATGGTCGCTAGAATGACACAAATTGTATTTAATCTAACACAAAAAGTATATTTTTTACGTGTATGAAACACATGTTTCATCTTCTTTTAATTTCCAGTAATAGCTTGACAAAAAATTATAGGAATATAGGAAAACTACTCCACACAGTTTTTACAATTTAATTTAATTTTTATTAAAAGATTCACTCTGAGCCGCTTCACCCACTGTGCTCTAGAATAGTCTTTTATTCCCTATCTTACACATGATGCTCCAAAAAATTAATGTATTTTATCGATTATCTCACACATGCTCTTCTAATTTTCATGAAATTCTGGCATCACAGTTATTTTATTATTAATGTTATATTGTACATATCAAAGCTAATACATTTATCCCCACCAGAAAAGGTTCATGATGTTTTTTCAAAGGAATTTTAAATAAAGTTTTATTAAAAAAATACGGTCTGACACAATGGTATATTTTTTCGTTCTTTAAATGTTATTTAGACTTATTTTCTTGCATCCTGAATAAAAGCTGAGGTACGTACCATTCTGGCGAATGTCAAATTTCGTATTTATATCTCCTAGAATACGAAAGTACGGATGTATAATTACTGTCTATTTCTCTACTGTATTCACTGTTATGCCTTATCGGTCGATTGTCTATCTATTATTATTGATTAATTAGATAGAACTGAATTTCTGAATCTGCTGAATTGATTAGTTTGAAGTAACAAGTGCAATTTGAGGTTAGCATGAACGTAGGTACATACGTTTTTTCGTATAGCTGACATAACAAAATAAATACTATAAAAGTCAATATTCTTAATTCAATATTATTACTACTGTTAAACTGCAAATACACAAAGAATTTTTTTGTCAAAGGATTTTTTAATTCATCACTACATGATCACTTTAGAAAAGACATAATTTATGTTTAGGCAGATATAATAAATGAAATTTTGTTGAATTATCACTAAATCAGTGTCAGTTGGTGTTTTACTAAAAATTTTAGAGCAGTCTTTTGTATATCTACTTTTTTAGACAAACCGTAACTTTGATTCTGCGAACTTTGTATTTTGGAAAACGATATACTTATATATAATCACAAAACTGTTTGTAGAATTTTAAAAAAATTAGATAAGTCTCTTTTGACTTAATTAGTAAAGACTTTGTTCTATTCAATAATTTTTTTAACCATTCGATGTACAACCATTTCCAAAAAATAAAAATATCGTTAAAACACTAGCAAAATATTTATTAAATCTGGAGAGGGATAACCGTAAAAATTTGTACGTAAAGTTTTATTTACTTTTTTATGAAACAAAAGATAAAACAACATGTCAGAATTTAAATTTCAAGGGAGATTTATTTAGTAAACTTTGAGTAGACAAGAACAGATACATTTTAATTAGAGTTTGACCATCTGTACGATAATCTTGAGATACATATAAATCTCATAGTAATCACTAATCATTTCAGTATTATCGGAGACTATCTGTCTAATAAAATCATCCAACGTACCTTGACAATTCGAAACACGGTTTCGTCTTCTATACAAATCATAGATCACCGAGAAAGCATCAAATTAGGCTTTCGTTAAAATGTTACTATTCTAGGGTGTAACGCGTAGGTAAGTACTTGTAAATACACAAAATGTTGTCCTTTATTAGCGATATTTTCAAAAATTAGTTTTTATTATTAAGGCTTTCTAGAAATAACTTAGGGGAATAAGAATCAACGAAATTAGAAAAGGTAATAATAGCTTGAAAAAACTGAAAGTACCTGATATCCATCGTAAGTCCACGAAGCCCATTTCATATGACAGCTTTGCAGATCAAATGGGAAGTACTCCACGTTAATGTCACAGGACGAGCGATATATACCATGGCTTAACCACAGGACCTCTCCGGAACTGGATACGATCACATTCGTGTTAATAACAGACGACTGGAACTGAGGGTCGGCGCTAAAAATAAAACACTTTGTAAGGAGTTTATTCATTTTAATATTTCAAAAAGATCTCGATCAGCAATACGAGCACTTTGCATGGGACGTTTGGCGAAAGCATTATAAAATGCAGGCACTTTTATACGTATAAAAGCGACCGTGGAGAACCGAACTTTATTATTGATGGTAAACCTTAAATCACATATTTTTGTCCCAGAGGCAGACAACCTTACAATGTTGTAATATTAAAGAAAGGTATTTGATATTGATCGCGTCTTCCTATAAATACAAAAAAAAAATGGAAAAATATAATCGTTGTTAAAAGTTTGCAATGAAATTAAAATACCCAACAAATTCAAAGCTCTTCAATTTTATGAAAAAAAGAAATTACGTTCTACCATTCCCGGTGTGTATAATGTGAATAAATAACATTTGCCCGTGGCTATGCCACCAATATATTTCTTGTTAAAGCGTAAAATGTGTGGTGGTATTTACCATTGAATATAGATTTACCTGGGATGAGAAAATTATTTTTTAATATTCCGGAATATTCCGTTCGCAATGAAAACATTGCAGAAATTTCAAGAATAGCCGACGAAAGAATATTAATATATGTATTTTGTGCTCAGTTCTTATGCGAAGTCAAGCGCTGTAAAAAAGTCTCTCTGGACGGATTTGTATAAGGCTGCATGCTATACATCAAAGAAACAATAAAACTTTCTCCGTTAGCACTAATATTCCGTTGAGATTGACGTGTCAGAGAGTGAGGTCCTGAAAACATTGGACTCAAGCAGAGTACAACAATACATGTCGAAAGCTTGGTTTTCTCAAACAGGAAAATAAATAAAACGATTAAATAGCATAAAAAAGCTTGCTACACAGTAGTGAGTTCCTCGTTTTTTGCCATTACAGCTTCTAAATAAAATTCAGGGTAACCAAAACGTGTTAGTATTACTTTGAACCTTATTGGTTTTGCTCACGTTACCGCCCAATTACTTACAAATTCTACATGCAAACGCACATCAAATAAATAAAAGAGAGCGACAAAAACCACAAAATTTTATTTTTATTGCGACGTGCATAAACTTAGGATAAACTTAGAGGATATTGCAGCAACAAACTTCAAATTTATGTTTGCTTTTGTGTCAGCCATTTTTATTAAAATCCAGTGTGCGACATCGTTTTGAAAATTTATTAGTCACTATTTTAAACTAATAGACCTGAAGTTTAAGTTACTTTAGAGCTACCAAAGTTTTGATATATTTTTTTGCTATTTCGACGGAGTTGCTTGCTATTTCGTATCTATTTATTTTGTTTATGTCACTAGCTAAACAACTAATTTAAAATTCAAATGTAAATTTCATTTAGAAACCATTTTTCATTAGTTCGTGTTCTACTGGCGAATACTATATTTTTCGGTTTTAGTAAACAAAGTTACAAAATGCGATCGATTATGTAGACATCGTATATCATTTTCTTAGTAGAAATGATGATAGGACTTGTTGCTTCTACAAAAGCTGGATGAAAATCCTGAATAGGACTTTATTACTAATAACTAATGTTAATTAACAATATTTTTGTTTCTTGGATGTTTATTTAATATACAGCAATAAATTCATTCCGCAAGGGTAAAAAATTGAAGCGCAGGTTCTTGATGATATTCACTAATTTCGAACGGCGGAGGCGGCTGGCTACTTTTATGTTTTCTCGTCGTTTCATGACGCATAGAATATGAAAAATTAGGTCTCGTGGTTCAGTCTGTCTGCCGTCTGTCCAAATTTTTATTAAGCAGATAATCTCCAAATCTACCAGTCCGATTGTTGTCAAATTTTGTATGCATGTTAGTTGTAGAATATAAAATGCTGGTGGGATTTAAATTTTATAAAATAGCATACTCCTTCCTGTACTTGTTTTATTGATCAGATCTCTAAAACGGTACACCTCAATGTTATTTTTTGTATTACACTGCATGTGTCGGGATTGATATACGTATACTTGCTGAAATAATGTTGACCGAAACATTTTTAAATGTGTGTTTTCGTACGATAATGTGTTGGAATGCTAGACGGTGGACAGTAGCGGGGTATGGGGGATTAAAGTATGATACATTAATGACTTCAGAAAAACAAGCTCTACAAGATCTCTAAAAAATGTATAGTGTGTCATTAAAAAATAAGTGTAGAAAAACAAACAAAAAAATATAGGGTGTCAAAACGAATTTATATGATGCCATTTACCTTCTTAGGTGGTTAAAGATATTACTTATCTATATTTATTTAAATGTATAGAGTTTGCAAAATAAAAATTTCTCAAAATCATTTTTTTTTTAATTTATCAAAGAAGCGGGATTTATTGGACTGAGTTTCAAATGGGAGGTTTGTCTTGTCGAAATAACTTTCAACTAATTTTTTAATCATGAAATTGTTCTTTCTTTCTGTACATTAAGTTCTTATTATTGAACTTTTCGAAACAATATTCAAGTTAAATCTCGGATGGATATATTTATATCTAGTTCACTGCAGGGATTTTGGTAAAGACACCTCGATAATTGTTTCTCCTCTTTCACTTATAAAGTCTGAATAAAGCAACGTTATAAATTGTAGGTGGTATTAAAAAGGTTTTCACTTCACTCAAATATTTGTTTCTGTAACTGGATTGCCAAAATGAAACGAACAGAGCAAGAATTATCGGAATGTCACAAACACATCAGCTCGATCCATCAAATTCACGCTAGAAAAATTCGTTAATAACAAAATCAATTTCCTAGGTTTAATCAGTAATAAGTTAAAACAAGAGATTACATCCGAAATATTTCGTAATACAAACACGGCAAATCCCTCTCGAAGACGAAGTGCATTACGCATACGTACATTGAACAAACTACAATCATGATACTTTAGAACACCTAACGACAAAAAATTAGTCGAAAGCTATTTCAATAAATTTAACTTCCCTCGCCCTTGAAGTGCAGCAAACAAATCCAGTTTTTTTGAAAAATTATAACCTCATAATATAAAGTAAAGTTATGTATGTAATGTTAAAATAAAGATAAAGAAGCGGGCTACGCGTTTTTTGATTACAAAATGTCGTGATGACGTCATCAAAATTTTTGCAGGGACACGTATATCATTTGGATAGATGCAGTGTAATACTAATAATAACAATACCGTATTCCCAAATGTAGAGAGTCGTTCTTTATTTAATCAATAAAATAAATTGTTCATTCATTAATTTTTTGAGCCACCCTGTATAAATATTTCTAAAAACTAGGAGAGCATTAATAAACCACAAGTATCGAGCTATAATATTTTGCAGATTTCAAAGATGATTTATTCGGTAAAATTTTGAGACGACCTCATCAATTTTTTGGGAGGAGATAAACGAATAAATTTTGATTAACGGTTTCCGATAAGTACGATAACCTTAAAACGTTTGCAAGTTTTTGGAGCATTCGGTTTTGCAGTTTCAAAGTTAAACGGCAAAATTTTGTTATACATACAATTTTGATTTTATTTTTAATTTCGGTGTCTAGGGTGAAAATGAAAACTCAAAACGGATTTATACACCACAAATTCAGGAGTCTTATTTTTTGAAAATAAAAACAAATTTATTATTATAAATTTTGGAGATGACGTCATCAAACTGTTGGTGGCCATGGTTAGCCAAATTTTGGTTAGCGTTTTACCATCTACATAATTGATATTCCTAGTACACGTACGAAATTTGACAAGAGTCGGATCAATAATTTCGGTGATTGTCTGTCTAATAAAAATCCACACAGACTGCAGACAGAGAGACAGGCTATGTAATACAATGTATATTATAAATAACACTAAGCAGTGAATCCGATCCCAAAACTATAAACTAAATCGAACGAAAAAAACAGGAAGAACAACAAAATAAAGGAACATGGAAGGGAAAAAATAACGTCCATTCAAATACGAAGCATTTAGAACCAAGATTACACCACAGGAGCATACGGAAGTCAAAACACTATAAGACAACAACTAAACCATTCAAAATACAAAAGCCAACGATTATACAAAAATGGAGTAGATATCTGTATCCAATCAAAATTGCGATAAACTGTAGGAGTAGGTAGTAGGTATATAGGAAAAACGGACACAACTATATAATATCTGATCAAAGAACACCTAAACCCCAACAACAAATAGTTGGCTGTCATGTGACACATCAGCACATCACAATTAACTCTTGCAAAATTATTGTTATAAATATATACCGACCGCCATCTGGTGATTTTAATCTGTTTTGTGAAATTATTGTTGATGTACTGGATACAATAGATGTAGTCAAAAACAATGTTATCCTAAGTGGAGATTTTAACATACATTTCAACACTAATAGCATGCTAGAACTAAAACTTTGTAACACCTTAACTGAATTTGGCTTGTATCCCATCGTAAAATTCGCGACCAGGGGCAATAATACTCTTGATAACATTTTTACCAACATGCACACTCTAAGTTATAGTGTAAAGCCGTTCAATAGCCTAATGTCTGATCATTTAGGTATAGACTTCAAATTAACTGTATCTGACGCTAAGAACAAACATGTTACTTATAAGTGCCGCCCGATTACTAAACTAGGCAAGTGCAAATTATACAACAATATAAGTAAAGCTGACTGGTACTTTGTTGACGATAAAACCCTTGATATCAATACTAAGTTTACATTGTTTATAAAGGAAATTATCGACAACATGAATCTTGCCTTCCCAGAAAAAACCTTCAAACAAACCAACTATAGCAAAATGGACATTAAGTGGTTTGATGACGAATTGCGAAAAATACGCGAAGAATTATCATTTCTTGACCAGTTTCATAAAATTGTTCAAACGGACGTGGCTAGAAAGGCTAGAAATAAATGTCGACACCTTTATCAAGAAACAATTAAAATAAAAAAAGTGAACTACACCAAGAGTTTTATAGATAAATCGAATAACAAAAGTAAAGCAATCTGGCAAGTAATAAATAACAACTGAAATAAAAATTCAGT